AAATAAGTTTTCAGGGCCCGACGAAAAATCTGGAGGTCTGTTATTGTATGTATCTCTGGGGGGAAGTTGTTCCAGAGGGTGGGCACCGCCACAGAGAAGGCTCTCCCCCTGGGGGTCGCCAGCCGACATTGTCTGGCGGACGGCACCCTGAGGAGGCCCACTCTGTGCGAGCGTACTGGCCGGTGGGAGGCTATTGGTGGCAGAAGGCGGTCTCGTAAATACCCCGGCCCTAAGCCATGGAGTGCTTTAAAGGTGGTCACCAACACCTTGAAGTGCACCCGGAAGACCACCGGGAGCCAGTGCAGCTCGCGCAGGAGAGGTGTCACATGGGAGCGCCCCGTCGCCCCCATAATCCCCCGCGCGGCCGTGTTCTGGACCAGCTGGAGCCTCCGGGTGCACCCCAGGGGGAGCCCCATGTAGAGAGCGTTGCAGTAGTCCAGGCGGGACGTGACAAGTGCCTGAATGACTGTGCGTAGGGAGTCCCGATCTAGAAAGGGGCGCAACTGACATATCAAATGATCTTCTAAAGACAGCCGTGCATCCAGGAGGACGCCCAAGTTACGAGCCCTCAGGCTGACACAAACTGGCCTACAGGAAAGACCAAATGAAGAATAGAAAAAATACATGGCAAGGAAAGTATTGCATAGCCAATACACAAAAGAACTAGTAGGCAAATCAGATAACAAGACCTGACAATGACTAAGAGCAGATTGAGACAGAGGAGCTAATTCTAGCTGTACAAGATCAAACCTTTAAAACAAATGCATACAAAGCCAGAATTCAGAGGACAACAGCAAACAGCAAACCTCTGTAAAGAAGCTGAAGAAACAGTAGACCATTTAATTAGAAGATTGCACAGACTGGCGATGAACAATGACATAACAAAGTAGCAACCATGTTCACTGGAATATCTGCAAAGAAATACCATTTGCCTGCAAACAAGAATTGGTGGGACCACAAAATAGAGAAAGTAATAGAAAATAAAGAAGCTAAAGTGCTCTGGGACTTTAAATTCAAACAGACAAGCACCTGCCAAATAACTTCCCAACTGTTGATAAGAAAGACAAAGAAGTCTGGATATTGAACATGACAGTACCTGAAGACAGCAAAATAGATGAGAAAGAACTGGAGAAAATTACAAAATACAAAGATTTGCAAATAGAAGTAGAATGACTGTGACAAAAGACAGCAAAATAGTATTAAAAATAATAGGCATCGTTAGTGCAATTCCAAAACATTTGCAACATTGACACCATTGACATCGACAAAATCACCATCACTCAATTGCAAAAAGGAGCTTTTGTTGGAACTGCTTATATCCTGCAATGATAAATACCTTTAACACCATCAAACAACCAATGTATGTCTATCTCAAGTTCTGGTTGGATAAAAATACCAAATCTCGTGTAAACATCTGACTGATTGTGACCAACCATAATATAGTGAAACTGCAGTCATTAAAATATCATGATGATGCAGTCACTCATACGCACGGTCACTCATGCTCTCGTCACCTCCCGCCTGGACTATTGTAACGCTCTCTACATGGGGCTCCCCTTGAGGACCACCCGGAGGCTCCAACTGGCGCAGAGTGTGGCCGCGCGGGTGGTAATGGGAGCGACATGGTGTTCCCATGTAACACCTCTCTTGCGCGAGCTGCACTGGCTCCCGGTGGTCTTCCGGGTGTGCTTTAAGGTTTTGGTTACCACCTTCAGAGCGCTCCATGGTTCAGGACCTGGTTATTTACGGGACCACCTACTACCACCAATAGCCTCCCACCGGCCGGTACGCTCTCATAGAGAGGGGCTCCTCCGGGTGCCGTCGGCCAAACAATGTCAACTGGTGGCCCCCAGGGGGAGAGCTTCTCTGTGGGGATACCTACTATCTGGAATGAGCTCCTCCCAGAGATACAGAGGATCCCGGATCTGTGCACCTTCTGCCGCGCTCTTAAGACCTTTTTATTCCACCAGGCGGGCCTGGCCTAATCTTTTCCCTCTTTTTAATTATGCAAATTTTAATCGGTTTTTAAATGATTGGGGTGTTTTAATCTGTCTGGGCCAAATTGTTTAATTCGATTTTACTTTTTTTTAAATTTTGTATCTATGTATTTTTACTGTTTGGCTGTTCACCACCCTGAGTCCTTCGGGAGTAGGGTGGTATATAAATCAAATAAAGTAAGTAAGTAAGTTCAAACTACTGCTATTCATTTATGGAACTGCTAGGAACTAATATAAATTGTACATGTTAATGTTTCCTACCTCCAAAATCACATCCCAGAGCAAAGGTGTCTACATGAGCGTTGGGACAAGTAGATTATGATCCTGCTTGTCTACTACAGATTTAGGAAGAAGCAGTAGAAGACATCAAAAACACATCGATTCTTACTTTTTGGAGGGTGGTTGGTTTAGCAGGTGGACTTAAGTTTCATCAGAATATCTAAGATATTTTCCACTCTTTTAGGGACTTTTCTTCCATGTGAAACGCTTTTTTAGTTCATAATATTACTAATGGCATACCTAATGCATTTGGCAAATCAGGGTCTGATTAACAGGTAGAATATCTAGGGTGGCCTAAGCACACCATCACCAGTTTGCCCTTCTCATTTCCATCTCTGTACTGAGCTGCAACTGCCAAACAGGTGATTATCATACCATCACCAGTGACCAGACCTATTGTTCTGACCTAGGCTTCCTGAGTCAGTAAAACACATGAGTAGTCCCAAAAACCTGTTTTATTTTAACAGCTGTGAATTCTGTTCATTCACAGATGAGTCCCAAATAGTTGTAAAGAGTCCTTTGGGATAAGGCTGATAATCACCCACCTTTATCTCCCTTGACACGCTGCCAAAGACCTAATTGGCAAAATCACACGGAATCCAGAATCAAACAGAGCTTCAGACTTTAAACTGCACAGAACTAACAATGTTGCTTCCTTCAAAGGCCCACATGCCTTTGCTCCTCTTTTAAGTCTTATGGGAGGGGCCAATCATCTCCAAGCCCTATTCCCGAGTCATCCCTTTTGTTTTAACTGTTCTTGTCTTCTGCGTGCACTGGGAACAGGCTCCCCCTGTTCCTCTGTCTCGCTGAGGTCCGACTCTGGAGGCTCTGGAGGCAGCATGTACCTCCCAGATGGCCCTTTCTCTGCCTCCAAGGCAGAGCCCTCATCCAAGCTTCGTCTGAGCCTTCCCCAGACTCCAGGACTGGCCCTTGTTCCTCCCCAGCCTCCTCACTGTCGACTCTGCTGCCAGCTCCGCAGGCTGCTGATGGACCACAACACCTATTGTCAACTTTCTGGATAGCATCTTTAGCTTCTTTATTATCTGCCTTCGGAGTCAACAAGTCCATCCTCACTCGAACACTGGGTGATTCTGCCATACAATTTTCTTTATAGGACTCCTCTGATCAAATCAGCATCTTTTAATACCAGAGCCTTTGTTTTCTAAAAGCTCATTCTAAAAAAGTTTGTGTGAGATACACACACACGCACACACACACACACACAATGTCTCAGATTTTAATTTTTTTTTTAATTTTGATTTATATGCCACCCTTCTCCGAAGACTCAGGGCGGCTTACAATGTGCTCAGCAATAGCCTTCATCCTTTTGTATATTTATACAAAGTCAGCTTATTGCCCCCACAAACTGGGTCCTCATTTCACCTACCTTAGAAAGGATGGAAGGCTGAGTCAACCTTGAGCCTTGGCGAGATTCGAACCCTGCAGTAATTGCAGGCAGCTGGTCTTAAGCAGCTTAATAACAGGGTGCCTTAAACCCTTGTACTACCAAGGCTCTTCAGCCCTTCCTAAACTGGTGCCATCCATGTTTACTGAGCTTTATTTTGGCTGTATATAAGATTAGATCTTAGTAGCACTCTCAAAACACATGGAGATGAATGAGAAACATTAATCAGGATTTAAATCAACTAAATTTGAGAAATAAGGCATCTAATTTGGTTTAACCTCCCACTTTTATTTTCTATTAGTGGCACACATGTGCCCTTCATTTGAGGACTTCAATGTGAAATTAAGACCTTGGATGCATGAACAAGATCAAGTCACACAGATATAATTTCCATATTGTCTATCATGTTTTTCAGTGTGATTAGCTCATTTCTTATAATGAAATCATCAAGTGATGCATGCACACATGTAAAGCCTTTATTACACAAATGGGACTCAGCAATAAAAGTCTCTTTAGATTCTTAGATTAGGCAAATTGGGAACAAACAGAAGAAAAATCTTTCAGACTTGCATGAGACACACTGGAGACTTCAAAAGAGGATCAGAAGGCAAACCAGAGCTGGAGTCTGTTTAAAAAGGGAAAGGGGAAAGGTTGTGTTGATGGTGTTGAACTTTGCCCTTTTGTGGAGTTCTGAAAAGCCATATTTGGAGAGAATCCCTGAAGTAGTCTGGGTCAGGTCTGGGTTGGTCAAAGCATTTAAGGGAGCACTTCCTTTCTCTGGAAGTATGGCTTTCAAAGTGTGTCCTGATGGCAACTAAGTAATTCCTCTCCAGAGGGAAGCAGGCTTCAATTACCTTTCATGACACACCAAATTGGTCCTTCAGGGCAAGATTAAGGCAAAGGCTCAGAGAGTTGGTTGTGGGTGTGTGGAGATGATGAAGCTCGATCTGCAGTAATGATAGGCTTTTCTTAATCTTTTTGAGGTCATCTGATAGGGAGAGATCACCTTTGTCTGAAATGGAGCGGAAAGGAAGTTTTTTTTTTCTTTTAGCAAACTTCACAGGTCATTTTAATGAGGAGACATAAGGTGTACTTGTGACTCTTACATGACCATTTCAGCTTGCTTCTTTCCTTCTTTCTTTCTTTCTTTCTTTCTTTCTTTCTTTCTTTCTTTCTTTCTTTCTTTCTTTCTTTCTTTCTTTCTTTCTTTCTTTCTTCTCTCTCTCTCTCTCTTATATTATTGAAGTATTAAAAAGTAACCACTTTCCCCTAAATGTTTCATTTAATTAAATTAATTTCAGTTCATCTTATCTTTCTAGGACTCAACAGTACATGAAACTGAGAACAAAATTCTCCATGTGGTAAGTAGTATTTATTGCATCACCATAGACATTAATAGTGAACTCATTAACTAAATGTTAATCCTTATATAGTCAAAGATGAGCCAAATATAGTCTTGGTTCATCTATACAATCTACTTACATTCTAGGCTTTATTCTACACAGTTGTTTTACTAGGGGTATAGTTTGCTTAATTCTGCCCTACATACTGAACCATTATCTAAAAATATAAAACCACATAGATTTCCATGTACCGTGCACTTAAGGGAACAAAGTACATACCACTAGCCATTCTTTCTTACTAATCTTTCCACTTGGAACCACCAAGACTATACCAGCACTATATCAAAAGTGGATAATGTTCTAAACCCAAGAGAATGTATTATTTTACTATTCCTAAGAAGAATGGGATCCTTCTTACTTAACTACCTTTTGGAACTCTTTTATTTTAAGACTGGTATCAATTGTTTTCTTTTCTACAGCAAGAACAGTAGTTCATCTAATGATCTATAAGATGTGTACTTCTATCTATGCATATTATGCTTCCACCATATATTTCTTCACTTTACAGAAAACTGTCTTATATCAGTTTTTCATTCTACCATTGCACCTAGCTATAGCATTTGGAGATTTATTTAGCTGACATGCACTAAGTCATTCAGTCATTCAGTTCCTAGTCATCTCATGGCTGACTATTGTAATGCACTCTACATGTGGCTACCCTTGAAGAGCATTTAGAAGCTAAAGCTGGTGCAGAGTGTGGCAGGGAGGTAGTTTGAGGGGGGTAGGCAGGAATGGCCCTTGTCATACCACTGCTCCGTGAGCTGCATTGGTTGCCAGTCTGGTTCTGGATGCAATTGGTGATCACCTTTAAAGCCCTTCATGGTATGGGTTCAGGTTACTTGAGGGACCGTCATACCCCATTGGGTTTGACCTGTACCACTCTTGCTAGCTGAGGAGGCATGCTGTGGGACCCATCAACCTGATTGCTCCAGCTGGTTGTTGCTCCAGCTGAAACATCTTGCCGCCCCCCTCCGATGTGAGGTTGGCCCCAACTCTCCTATCTTTTTGTAAGGGTCTAAAGATGTTCTCCAAGACAGCTTGGGGCCCCAGTGGGGGAACAGCACAATGGAGAATCCACCTCTTCCCCACTCCACCACCATCCTCCCCATGTGTCTTTGGTTTTAATGTTTGATTTTAACTTTTTATGTTTTAACTTAGATGTGACTGTAAGCCATCCAGAGTTACCTTATGGTAAGATAGGTGGCCAATAAAATTTATGAACAAACAAACAAACAAACTGTATTATGTATTTTTGCAGCAAACTAAATTTGCTCTTCCTGGAGATGTGTGCTTTTATTTTCTTTTTTCTTTTTATACGATTAAGTCAGCTGTTAGAAGATCATTAGTATTACAAATTTAACAATGTGTTATTAAATAATATATAATATGTATGGAAAAATCTGGATTGTATTTGTTATTATAGTTGTAAAATAGGTTGTGTATATATGTGTATTCATCAGCCATATATTTGCTAATGCTCCCAGAAACAGGGAGAAGAAAGAGAAAAATTACCAATCTCTAAACAGATTTTTCTTTTTTAATTTTTTATCTGATCAATTATTTTATCATAATTGCAATCTTATAAGGGAGTAAAATTGTATCTAACTATTATGCCCAAGGTTTGCTGTGTTAGATTTAAAGTTCCTGGGTTAATATAATTTTTTGTTTTGTTTTGTTTTCTAGTGTAAGACTCTATCTAGTGTCTGTGATCATATAATATCACTTTCATCTGATCCCCTCGTGTCTCAATCTGCTCACCTGGAAGTGATTCAGCTAGCAAACATCAAGCCAAGTGAAGGGCTGGTAAGATGTATACAGTTAATCAAAACTTCATCCAGGATGGAAGAAATACATTTTCTGAATAAAATGTTTATTTGGCATATCTAGACCCTTTACTGCAAATCTGTATGAAGCAGTCAGATATACCATGGTCAGTATTGCATGTTAACAGTTATTTTATAAAATCCTTAAGAAAATAGTATCAATTGAAACTATCTTTAAAGTACTGTAGTGGATTGTATTCTGCAGTTTTCTAGAATTGGTTTTCAAGTTTATATTACAGAATACTATAAACTTTATTGTGTCTCTGACTGATAATATATTAATAATAACTTGTGAGCTATTCTAATACTTGAAGAAATAATCCTAACTATTTATGATAATGCCTTCAATATAAATAATGCAGTTACAAGTCTGCTTATCCAAATATATTGATATTATTGATACTGTTTTCCCCAAATATTGTTGCTTTAATGTCCTCACAGTTATGCTCCATAACTTTGTTATGAAACAAAGAATAACACTTTTAATTTTTTTGGATATGTATTTGGTTTTACCTAAAATATTTTAAATCCTGAAATCATTGTTTTCTAAATTTCACAATATCCTTTGCACTCAATCTCACCTTTAATCTGCCTTCTACTGTACTACTCTGTAGTCCCTTGTTCTAAATCTTGTATTTGTTTCAGTGTCATAGTAGCATATTAAAGTCATTTTCTATCCACCATCTGTAATTTATTCCATGTCTTATGTCATAATCTGATTAAAATGTTTGCACTTTCATAATTTCATTGGATGTTTGTACAGCTTTCCTACTCCAGTCTATCCTTTTAGAAATGCTTTTTATGAGATGACCACATTCTCTTTTTAATTGTAAAGACAATCCCCACCCCTGTTTCTGTCAAAGATTTTCCTCTATTTATTTGTTTAGATTTTAAGACTGTTCCTATACAGAAGTACTTATTAACGGTTTGGTTGTACTGTATATAGTACAATAAAACCAATTATTTAAGTACACAAAAGAAAATATCAGAATGGATTTTCAGATTTTTTAAAATGAGCTCATATGTCTTTTTTCAAATGAATTCTGTAAATTATTTTGAGTAGTGGTCATTTTGTCTATTTCTTGCTGAAACATATTATTTTGGAATCAAATAGTAAGTTGTAACATTAACCTTTTATTAGCCTAGAAATGGAAAATACTTTATGTGACATTTACATAAACTGCATAATGGTAAAAATAATTAGAATGAAAAGATAATAATTCAAATTTTCTTATAATTATTATTGATACTTGATGGTTTTTAAATATGTTTTGGCATTTCTGACATAGGAAGTACAAAGGAGCTGTGTAATCAAGCTTCACATAGAATTTTGTTTCCCCTGAGATTTATGTATCAAATTGTTGTCAAGTTCTGATAATGGTAGAGAAATAAGTTACAAAGAAAATACAATGTAATGTAATGCGGCTGTAATGTATACAATGTAAGGAAGCTATAGCAAGGAATATAAGGGAAGAAATGAAGGCAAATGAAATTAACATTATGGTTGATGTTACACTTGGACGGAATAATAAATGATAATGGCAAGAAGGAAAGGATAGCAAAGGGAACAAATTGATCAAGCCATGTAAAAAAATCAAATGCAGTTTGGTTTCAATTGTATAGTATATTATTCTACTGCTATAATTCCTACCAATATTATTGTGATATCAGTGTAAGGATTAAGGCTTTAAATAGTTCTCAGGACAGAGATGACCATCATGTAGAGATATAACAACCATTTCAAGGCTATCAACAACTATACCAAGTATCCATTAATGGGTGAGGAAGAAACCATGATTTTAAAACTCCAAGGTTATAAAAAGTCATTGCTTCTTTTTCATGGCAATCAACTCTTGTGTTTGACTTCATTCTTCTCTGCAATAAAGATTTTAATTTTGCAGAACCATATCTTCTGTGAAGTCACCCTGAGGAATCAAGTTAAGTGGGCAAGTACCAGGAAATAAGGGATTTACTGCCAAATCCAAGTTGAAAAACTTGAGAATTAATACTTATTTGTGAACTTGGTTGATATATTAAAATAAATTGGATATTTTTGTCCAATACAATTGGTATTGAACATGTTATGTATGTTAACTATATATTATCTGTTACTATTTTAACAATTCATAAGCAGGATACAAAACCTTTTGTATTAGATTTTGGTAGAATTTTTAAGAAATAGTCATGGAAGTGTTGGGTGTAGAATCTTTCAAGGTTCCTTATATGTAATCAATTCATAGAATTTTTCCATCAGCTGGTTAAAGATGTAAATATCTGTAGGAGAAGATTTTGTGTCACTGGTTTTATCATAACATGTTGAGCTTCTGAAAAGAATAATGTTGTTTCATTAGTTGATAAAGCAGGTACTTACTGATGCAATCACTTGCCTGTTCACTCTCATATGTGTGAAATAATAGGGATTGCAATGTTTGAAAGGCAAATTAATTTTTATATACTTCAGCTGAGCCACTGATGGGCAATCTTTCCATCAGGACATACATACCAGATTCATTGCATATGTGTGAACGCCTGTAAAGACACATACACTTTGTTTTGACACTTACATTATATTTCTTAAATTTTGGGTTTGTGCCTTTTAAAGAGTTGTGTTACGTGTCATATTCTAAGTTTTAAGTTGTCCTTCTAAGTTGAAGGACATAGTTTTTTTAACTTTTTTAAATCATTGTAATGCATTTTAATAATTAGCTATGGTTAAATATTTTATATCAATCTGAAGCATACCTTAAAAATGTTTAAAAGATTATTTTCATTATTTTACTAGTAAAATCAATTGTTAGATAAGTTATACGATTAAGTTGAACTTTCATAACACTAAATATATTGTTTTGATAAGCAGTAACTAAACTAAGAATTTTGTGGGATCAGGCAGAGAAATAGATAATTTAAATGAGTTTAAATTACTCATTTAAACCATGAGTAATTATGGTTTAAATCTTCCTCCGGTATGAATGTGAGGTGAGATGGAACTTTGAATATTCAAGATAGCGATTTCTATCTGATCTCTAAATTGTTCCAGTATCCTTTCCTCTGGCCCACAGATGGTGCCTTCCAAAGTTAGAAGAATTAGTCATAAGAGCTCTCTTTCTATGTGTATGTATGTTGATATGGGCATGTATTGGTGTGTATGTGTGTGTGTTTATATTTTCTTGCAATATTAAGAAAAATAGTTTTAAAATATATATATTGATTATTCTGTTCTATTTTTCATTATGTTACCTTAATCTTAAGCATTTTTTTTGTAAGTTTTCCCCTCTATCGCTTTGAATGTTATAGAAATAATGTTTATTTCACAACAATATAACATGTTCTCTGGAATTTTAGAAGTATTATGCCATAAAATTGATACATACACCTAATATACTTTGTTATGATATCCAAAGGCATAAGGTTTGTAGAATGCATTAGCTAGAGTGTAATTACATGGAGCAAAGCTTTTTTATGAAGGAGATGTATACTTGTTTGTGCAGAACACACTGTGTCTGTATATTTATTGTTTATCTATTTGTTTTACCGTGTTTCCCCAAAAATGCGACATGTCCTGAAAATAAAGCCAAGCCGGATTTTTGGGGTGGGCGTAAATATATGCCCTCCCCTGAAAATAAGCCCTAGTGAAGGGTTGGGCGCGGGCAGCACAGAAGGCAGCCCTTCCCTTTCCCGGTCAGCTAATGGCAGCTGGGCTCCTTAATTGCAACCCGCGGATCAGCTGAACTGATCAGGAGCTGCCCCAGCATTCTTGGCGCTCGCCTGCCTCCCATCTATCCATCCATCCTCCTTTCCTGAAAACTCCTGTTCCACTCTCAAGAGAGCAGCCGCCTGGCACCTCTTGCCACTTGGTGCCCACCCAGCAGACACCTCCCCCATCTGGCCAGGCAGAGTGCCACTCACCGACCGAGCAGTATCCCAGGATCACGATGTGGGCAGAGCCGGTGAGCACCAGTTCCTTGAGGAGTCCGTGCTGCTGCCATCCCAGCACTGAGCTGGCTTCCTCTGTGGCTTCCAAACCCTGGCTGGAAGCCGTTGGAAGCAGAAAAGAGGCCAGTCAGGCCAGCCGCCTGCTGCTGGGGCAGAGAGGCGGCAAAGGGTGAAGGGAGCCACAGCCCCTCATGGGGAGTCCGTGCTTCTGCCATCCCAGCACTGCGGATGGCTTCCTCTGTGGCTTCCAAACCCCGGCTGGTCCGCTCTGTGGTTGTAGGTCCATGCGGCTGCCCCGGCTCCCAGAAGACTCGGCAGAAGGCGGCTGGCCTCTTCTCCACTTCCAGAGGCTTCCAGCTGGGTTTTGGAAGCTGCAGGGGAAGCCAGCCTCAGTGCTGGAATGGCGGCAGTGCAGACCTGGTGCTCACCGGTTTCACCCACATCGTGATCCTGGGATACTGCTTGGTCGGTGAGTAACCAAGGGTGTCCACTGGGTGGGCACCAAGTGGCAAGAGGTTCTGGGCGGCTGCTCTCTTGCAAGCAGGCTTCCGAAGAGCCGGACGCAGGTACAGCCTTGGGTGAACAGCTGACGAGCGGCTTTGTTGCGCTGCCAAGGCGCAACACAACAGCAACCACGAGCACCCCCAAAATACTTAGATCCCTGATAATAAGGCCAAGCTCTTATTTCAGGTTTCAAAAGAAAATAAGATCCTGTCTTATTTTCAAGGAAACATGGTAGACTTACAATGCCATTTATCTTAAAGCACAACTCTGGGTAGTTTACAATAACAATGAACAAAGTCCAATAAACCCTAACTAGATTTAAGTTTTATTGTTTCAATAGAAACAATAAAACCCAAATTTAGCCCCTCAGCCATCCTGCTTCAAAGCATCCAATGAATAATCCCTTTATTACTATGGAAAAGGTGCTTCTAGGTCCTTCTAAATGAGAAGAGGAAGGAAGGGACCTGGAGACTTCACTGCCGTCCTATCTGACCTGGTGAAACAGGCACTCAGGAAAAAGTGGTTCCACTGATGTAGGGTTTT